TGTGTGACAAGATATGGGTCGTACGACTTCCTGGTCATGCCATTCGGATTGACCAACGCCCCTGCTACGTTTTGCACTCTCATGAACCAAGTCTTCCGAGAGTACATCGACGAATTTGTGGTGGTCTACTTAGATGACATTGTGGTATATAGCCAGACATTGGAAGAACACCTAGTACACTTGCGGAAGGTCCTAGCTCGGTTGCGGGGACATGAACTATATGGAAAGTTATCCAAGTGCTCCTTTGCTCAGAAGCAAATTGATTTCCTCGGACATGTCATCGAGGAAGGACACATCAAGATGGACCAACAGAAAATCCAGGCCATCACAGATTGGCCGTCACCTAAGGATGTCCACGCCTTGAGGGTGTTCCTTGGCCTATGCAACTTCTACCGGCGGTTTCTGAAGAACTACTCACTTATCGCAGTGCCACTGACAGAACTCCTCAAAAAGGTCACACCTTGGGATTGGGGACCAAGGAGAGCAGAGGCCTTCAAAGCATTAAAAGCGGCTATGTCTAGTAGTCCCGTCTTGGCCCTTCCTTATTTGGCCAAGCCGTTCGAGGTACAAACAGATGCTTCTGACTATTCACTCGGCGGAGTCCTGCTACAAGAAGGGCACCCTGTAGCGTACGAGAGTCGAAAGCTGAAGGATGCAGAGCGGCGCTATGCCGCCCATGAGAAAGAATTATTGCCTGTCGTCCACTACTTGCGCCTCTGGAGGCACTATCTGCTGGGAACCCCGTTCGTGGTCAAGACAGACAACACAGCTGTTAGCCATTTCATGACCCAGCCGAAGCTGAACGGTCGACAGGCCAGGTGGCAGGAACTCCTAGCTGAATTCCACTTCAACTTGGAGTATCGCAGTGGAAAGACCAATCATGTTGCTGATGCGCTCAGTCGGAGAGCTGATCTAGCATCGGTGTGCCTACTCGCCACCCTAAGGGGGAGCGAGGTAGCCACATCCATCAAGGACCAAATACGGGATCTACTCATCAAGGATCCTGCTGCTCAGTATTTGGTTGATTTGGTAGGACAGGGCAAGACTCGCCAGTTCTACATGGAAGATGGGTTTCTGAAAGTAAAAGGGAACCGACTTTATGTTCCTAAAGAAGGAGATTTGCGAAGGACTCTTCTAGCGGAGTGTCATGATACTCTGTGGGCCGGCCATCCCGGTGAAGAACGCACCATGGCGTTACTTCGTCGTGCCTATTATTGGCCTCAAATGGCCGATGATGTCGCTCAGTATGTGAAGACTTGTCTAGTATGCCAGAAGGACAAGTCGGACCGCTTGACACAAGCGGGACTCTTGGAACCACTCGCTGTCCCAAAGAGACCTTGGGAAAGCGTTTCCCTGGATTTCATCACCGGATTGCCCAAGGTCGGAGATCTCACAACCATCTTGGTTGTGGTGGACCGGTTTTCCAAGTATGCCACCTTTATTGCAGCCCCACAATATATATCAGCAGAAGATACAGCTCGACTCTTCTTCTCTCATGTCGTCAAATATTGGGGCCTACCCAAAGACATTGTTAGTGACCGCGACTCATGCTTCACTAGCAACTTTTGGACCCAACTCTTCAAGTGCCCTGGGTCAAAATTGAGTCACAGCTCAAGTTTTCATCTGTAATCTGATGGCCAGACGGAGCGGTTCAATGGTATGTTGGAGGAATACCTCCGCCACTTTGTAACCGGATCGTAGAAGAATTGGGTGAAGCTTCTGGATGCTGCTCAACTGTGTTTCAATTCACAAAAGAGCTCTAGTACCAACAAAAGCGCTTTTGAAATTGTTACCGGACAGCAACCGCTACTCCCACACACTGTGAATGCACCAAACATGGCTAAATCTCCTCGAGCTGCCAGCTTCTCAAAAGAGTGGAGGCGGAATTTTGAGATAGTGCGGAGCTACCTTGTCAAAGCCCAAAAGCGGATGAAGAGGCATGCTGATCAGAATCGTCGCCTTGTTGAATATCAAGTAGGAGACAAAGTGATGGTCAAAATTCCAAAGCGGTACTTATTTGCAGGGGTCCATGACCCTCGCCTATTGCAAAAATACATTGGACCCTTGTCCATTGAAAAGCGTATTGGGAAGGTTGCATACCGGGTGGATACCCCAGCTTGGTGGAAAATTCATCCTGTCTTCCATGTCAGTCTCCTGAAACCTTTTCGGGAAGACACGGAGGATCCTTCAAGGAGCCAGCTCACAATACCCAGTATTCGAGGTCCCAATTCAACCGGGAAAAGGCGTGTTGAAGCTATCCTTGATGACATAGTGATTCATGCCTCAAGGAAAGATCACCAAGAATTTTTGGTGAAATGGCAGGACTGTGATGCAGAAGAGAATACTTGGGAGAGGGGAACAAACCTCAAAGCCTACAAGAGCCTCATTGAAGATTATTTTGCAAGTAAGGCGCCGAGGACGTCGCCAACTCAGGTGGGGGAGAACACTGATACGCGGCGCCTTCCTGAGATTCCTTGGAAGGGCGACGTACGGCTAGGCAACTGATGTCAGTGCAGTTGCTCTCCGCCAACTGAGGTCCCCTCCGTACGCTAGACGAGATTGTCAGTGCCGTACGGGAAAACCAATATCAAGAGCAATTGAGAGAACAGAAATGAGAATTCAGAATGAAAGAAAGCTTGATTGCATTAATGAAAGCTATTACAGAAAAGCAACGCGGTGTCGAGGGGGAGAAACACCAGTACAGAGAATTGCTTGCTTGCTAGAAAGTTTTGATTGCTTGATCCCCCCTAATAGTACTTAAGAAAAATAATCCAAAGTTACAGGAGTAGACCTAATTAAGCTAGAGAAACATAATGGAAGTGCATGAAATAAAACTACTCTATATTTACAATGAAAATGACTTAGTCTTCTATAAGGCAGCAGCAGGTCCGTTGTCAGCAGCAGTGTCTTTGGCATCACGGTCTGCGCGCGCGGCGCTGTTGGCTTCTGCCTGCGGCTTGGCGCTCGCGAGGGATATCGGTGGGGCGACAGAGGCACCTGCGCGCTTGTCACTTGGCGCGGCCAAGACCACGGGGCCTTCCGTGGCGCTAGGCATTGGGAGGTTCGCTAGGACGCCACGGGGCGCGCCCAAGGGGTCATGGGGCATGGCTGGAAAGCAGCCCATGACAATATATATATATATATATATATCCAGTAAATCTTGATGCATTTTCTTTCCCTTTTCTATTTCCTGTATTATAAAAACTTAGGCATATAAGAAAAGACACTGAATACGCGCAGCCAACAGCCCACTAGGTAACTACAACAACAATATCACAACTTGCTAGGAATTACGCCCTCAGATTACCAGTTTAAGGCAATACATTGATCAGCTAACTACAACAAAGGAAATACTCGTGCAAGTACTCCAGACTCGAGAAAAATTATCCAACAAAACTTGGTTTCCGGACTTCTAATGAAAAACCAATGCTTTGATGAAACAACAAAATCGTGACCATAATAAAAAAATGACAAGGCAAAGTCATTAATCATTTCAAACCCAATGCAAATGACAACTTAGGCCTGGATTTGTTCTTGCCCAACAATGTCATCTGCTTTGCACGCTCTTCCTCCTCTTCCTGTTTCTTCCTTCGCATGGCCTCTTCTTTCTGTCTTTGAAGCTCTTCCAGTTCCCTATAACGCTGCTCTTCCCTCATTTGCTGCTCCAAAGCTTCTCTTCTCTGAGCTTCTTCCACTTTTCGCCTCTTCTCTTCAAGCATTCTTTCCAACTCTTCTTTCTCTTTTCGAGCTTGTTCCTACATGAACAATAAAAAAACGTCAGTTTTCACTGCCAATATTGGTTATAAATTTCAATTAATAAGTGTTGGCCGCCGAGCAGGCAAGTATAGTTTCAGAAAAACTAAGACCATGATTTATGCCAAAAGAAATGCGTCAAATCATGTGGTCATCGGCCTTCCCCAGCCCCCGCCCACTCTTTGTAGCTTCCTGTGGTGTTTTAATCCTATCCTTTTTTAATGGGATTATTAACAGACTAACTATTATAGCAGTGATGGACGGAAAGAGAACCATCACAGCAAGTGCACTACTTCCTTTTATGACAGTATGAAAATCCATACATCATCTCAGAAGCACAAACATGGCAATTGAAACTATGACTCTGAGATCATGCAATTTATTTATCCAGGGCACAGGACATGCTATTGCTAATATAAAGAACGCGACTAAGACATAGGGGGGAACCAGATATGTTAAGCAAAAAAGAACTTGCCTCCTTTTGTTTTGCCTCAATAAGAGCAGCTTCCTTCTCTATTTCAAGCTGAGCAGCAACTTCACTGACAAGTTTCTTTCTACCTTCTTCTAATCGCCTTCGGATTTCAAGCTTGATATCCTCCGTGTTCAAGCTATCATCAACTTTTCTCTTAATTGCTTCTTCAACTCTTTTTGCAGTTTCTTCTTCTATTAATTTCAGTTCTGCTTCCTCTTGACGCCTGAGAATAAGGAACAAAAATTAGACATGGGATAAACACTGATGAAGAGAGCAAAGACTCCTTTTATGTTCACCAGATTTATAATTAAAGGAAAAAGTGACTTTGCAAATTATTGCCCTTTTTCCTCCTCAATCTATAACTAAAGGAACAACAGACTGACCTCCATGTAGACATATGCACTAAATATACATGTTATTGCTTTATAGCATACCTCTACCTGAATTCTGTCCAAACAAATGAGAATCAAAACTGGTGAACAGTAGATAAACGAGGCACCCAATTGATCATCAAAATTAATAAGTTGAAATATAGCAGTAACTTCCTTCAAATAAGCCTGTGGAGAAGAATGTCAAATAACCTGTGGCAGTTATAAAGCTAATCACCAAATTACATGAAGCCTTACGGCAAAAGTAGAATTGTGAAAGGAAAAGTTTCCACTTCTCAAGTAGATGACCCAAATTGTCAACATGTCAGCTTAAATAGTCAGAAACAGATACAAAAAGAAGCCTGAGAAATCCACAAGAGGTTGGAAGCAAATAGCTATGTACTATCATCCATTTACCCTACAGAAGGATCGAAGCAAAATCTTGTCAAATGTTTCTTATTACCGTGTACACTCATGAATATGCCTTCCTATTAACTTTGTAAGGCTGGGTGTGAAAATATCATGTTTTAGCAAAGACATGTAGCATCACATTTATCCTTGCAGTTATCACATCTGTGGATGTAATAAAGGACAGCTAAGACCAGCAGCAAGGCAGAGTAACTGAACAAAGATAAAGATGTCAAGGTTGCCTTTTTTTAATAAGGATGTCAAGGTTGCCTTCTCTCTTTCTTTATCAGTCATAAATAGTTTAGCAACAGCGGAACCAATTAAAAAGCAGAACTTATTACATGCAGCACTCTTTGCTGTATGTTGATTTTGCTTCTTGATCCAGCCGCATTCTTTGCATTATAATGCCTTATAACATGTACTAATAGCAATTTGCAATCCACTTGCAACATAAACAGATTCAATTCCATCAATCCTACAGCCATCCCCCTATTATGAGAAATAAAAAGGCAAGAAGAAGAGTGTAATGAAACCCAGATCATTTATATCTTCACCTTTTGGGTTGTTGATTCACGAAAACTCTCCACTCCAGGAGGAATGTTAGCTTTCAATAACAATAAAAATCCTCTCATCTTAAACAGCGGGAGTTAATACCACAATTTCCACAACCCAATCCTACTTCTACCTTATTAGCAGGCCCCTAACAAAAATCTTTCAATTATGGACCTGAATGACATTCTGAGTCATAAATGTCCAAAGGTCAGTCCATTAGGTCCAATCAGGAAAACCATCCATGTCCACATTGTAAGCATTTACGGATAATTGTTGAAAACTAAAGGATCATTGTCCTTCCTGTCAGCATTTCAAAACAAATTGTCCATTTATTCATGATTGGTTTCAGGAAAACAGTACAGAAACTAGAGGTGTATGATTCAAAGTTGAACTGTATCAAAGAACTTTAAAACTAGAGGTAGATTCTCAAAATAAAAGCATAGCTTGCTCCTAGATAAGAAAGAGATAGAAATGGCAGAAAATGAAAAGATTACGTATAGTCGTATACAGCTATACCTTTTCTTCTCCTCTTCCTCAATTCTAATTTTTTCACTGAGATCCTTTTGCTCTTTCGATCCGATACTTGAAGCAGGTGATTTACCAATAGGAGACAATGATATACTCCTACTTCTTTTTTGTCTCCTATAGTTCCTTGGAGAGCGACTTTTATGTCGTCTGGTCGCTGGAGAACGACTTTTCCGGCGTCTTGGGGACAGTGAACGGCTTCGTCTTCTGTATAACAATGATTAACATTTGAGCAACATATATTGGCAGCAGAAAACATAAAATCCAGACATACTAACCCGTCTTCCAAATCAGTTAGATACTAAAGCATGTACAGTTACCTCATGAATTGCAAAGAATAAACTCGAGCTCCATCTTTTATCATAGGGAACTGCTAATATCACAATTGAGCAACCAATGGACACTCATCGGCACCCATGACCTGCTTGCCTCCCTTGAAGGGAAGCAATTACTTCTTTTAATTCCTCATTGAAGAACGTAGTTTGCACTGGGTATTTCATTTAGGTTTCTATTTATTAACTCTACTCATTAGGATCATGCACATCTTCGGAATAGTAGACAATTTCCAGATGGCAGCCTGATCGAGGACTAAATTTGCAACTGAACAGCGACACCAGCAGATTAAGATATGAGATAATACAAAGACAACCACGAGGATATCAGTTATGGTGATTACAGGTGTTGAAAACTCTTACTAGCAGCAACAACTCAATTCGATAAGGACATAACTTTTTCATAGACATCTGGTAACTCATATAATAGAAGACTAGTGGACTTTGATGAGAAAATATCAATCTGAACAAAATCGAAGCTGATATTGGCAACAGAAGTATGAAACAAGTCTGCACCCCTCTATCTCTCCGCTTGGGAACAGAGCTAGATATCCAATGAAGGGAATCGAATAAATGAAATGAAGAATAAGGCATTTTGTCCAGAAACAAGAATTAACATTCGGATTTGATCCATGATCAGATATTAGATGGACAACTTAGCGGTATGCGAATGCAACAATCACTAGAAGTTCCTCTTAAAGACTTTAAAATACAAGCAAAAATGATCAATCAGCAATCCTGCCACAGCTTAGGCCAATGCTGTCACTATGAAGTCCTAAATTCATTTTTGAGCAACCGTGCAAGTCGATCCAACAAACGGTAGATAAATACCAATACTTTTTCAAGAATCAAACACGTAGACAATACCTGAACAAACTGTAATTGAATCAGCAAAACGTGAGCTTTATTAGAATAATAAAAAACAAATCCAAGTACATAAAAACACAAAAATCAGAGATAACACAAGGGCAAAACCCATATAAGTCAAATCCATATATCAATTTAAGCAAATGGGTATCACCTGCTATTGGAATAAGGTGATCTGCTTCTATCTCTCCGGCTTCTGCGGCTATGTCTGCGTGCCACAGGCGAGGGTGACCGTGAATATCTCCTTCTATGTGCTGGCGACCTCGATCTAGACCTTGAAATATCCCTATCTCTACCCCTACCCATCTCTTCCTCAACTAATTATATGGAACACACAAAAATTCACCTGTAACAATAAATTAAATCAAAACCCATATGCTCTAAACAATTTCTTATACCAATGGGCATACAAAGAACAGGCATCACAAACTACAAGCCCAAGCATATAACTTTAAACCAATCAAAAAGCAGCGAACACGAATCAAAACCCACATGCCCAAAACAATTTCAAAAACATGTGTAACCTTAGACCAAATAAAAAACTATAAGTATCAAAAGTTATATGCTAAAAGTTGTACTGCAATTGACAAGACATAAACAACTATTCGCACAAATGGAAAGCTGAAAATTACCTGTTACTACAACAAAAAGATAGATCTTCCCCGGTGCATAACGATTGAAATAGAATAAAACCCTAAAAAGTGGAATGAAGTGAAGAATAGAGAGGAAGAAGAGAGAGTGACGGCAGAGAAAATTTCTGGGTCAAAAATTTTTTTTTTCTATTGGGTTTTTAGACGATTGATTGATTTCAAGGAAGAAATACCAAAGGAGGGTTGTTGTTTAGCTTTGTCGTACACAGCGCCCCCACGGGAAATACAGAGAGAGGAGGAATGGTGTCGCTTGCAAAGGAAGAGATGAGCGATGACTATACCAAGGGCCAATATTACCCAATATTCTTTCTCAAAATATAAAACGACATCGTTTATTTTTTTCTTTTCTTTTTTAACATAATTAAAAGAAGTTAAGAAAAATATTGAACTTGTATAATACCTAGACGAATTATGACTCTCTTCCTCGTTGATGTTGTCTTAATGGAAAACAAAATACTCCATAATAATAAAGCAGTTAATTTGACTACTTGAGCAAGCAACAATACTTTAATTCTGTTTAACAGCGACTAGTGTTTTATCAAATACTAGCATTCAAATGTTCGTTCGAATACTTTCTGCTTTCATTTTTTCCTTTTTTAGATGCTCCTCGACACAATTGAAAATTCATTTAGGATTCAAGCTACCAAAATTTTTAACACGAGCAAATCGGTGAACAAATATCTTGAATCCAAAGGGAAATAAATTAAAAACCAGGGGCTCAAATTGGTCTTAGCCAATTCACCTAAACTTCAGACTAAGTATCCTCAATATAGAAATTCAGAACTTAGTGTCTTGAATTTTTGAGCTGCTAATTTAAAATTTAGGACATACAATTCAAACTTCAAGACATAATTTTAGAATGCTAATTTAAAATTCAGGACATACAATTCGAACTTCAAGACATAATTTTAGAACTTCAGGACACGATGTCTTTAAACTTTAGAACACTGTGTCCTGCTGTTTGAGCAAAATTAGCTAATCTTTAAATACATTGTATACTGTGAATATATTTTAAACAACATGCTTAAAAGTGAGTACCTGGTGTCATTTTGCACCATCTTTTATCTCTATAATATTTAGATTTCCTTCACAGGACATCGACCAAAACAAAGCCAACTACGGAAGTTTGATAGACAATTCGAAAAAAATAGTTGACAGTTAATGTAACATTGGTAATAACGATGTTACAAATACAAAAAATCCAGGAATCTTTTGAACAGGCAATTCTTAGAAAAACACCAAAACTATAAATGATACACCAGCAAAGATAACTTAAGAAGCAAATCAACCATGAATAAGACCCATTAGCTCCTCAAAATACTGTGGCTCGAGACAATAAAACCCTGTGACATCCATAAGTTTCAATTGTACATGACCCAACATCCCTCCCCAGTTCACAGAAACACATCTTTCTCGAGCAGCTTTAGGACCTCCTGCTGGTTGTTGAGTTTGGCCACATCGATCGGTGTCTTTCCGTCCAAGTTTTGGAGAGTTCTGCACAAATAAAAGACAATTTAGTAGACAGCACGAGAAAACAAAGCATAACGCAACAAGTGGGACGAAAATGATCAAAATATATCAGCAGGATCAGAGAGAAGCAAGACATACACAGCGGCTCCATTCTCTAGCAGCAGCGCGACACACTCCTTCCTACCATATCCAGCAGCATAGTGAAGAGCAGTATTCTTATTCTTGTCCAAGGCATCAACCTTTGCCCCAGCTTCCAGAAGAATCTGAGCACACTTCACCTGGAATACAATTAAAAACTGCCGTAACTCAAAGAATTTTCAAGAAACATTGGCTTGCTTCAATGGGAATATACTCTAAAATAGCACATAGCCAACCTTAAACCTCCTATCTCATCAACGTGGAGATTTCTGTTTAGATGGATGTTAAATAAAAAAAATCATATTCTTTTTTACTGATTGATGAGTGCTAGTAAACTGGTAATTGTGCCCCCCCTTCCCCAACCCAAAATAGTATATAATGCTTTCCTCACTCTCTGAATCTGAAGCAAACTCAGCTTTTCGGGACAGTTTTAAACGGAAAAGAAACAATATATCATAACTCTATGACAAACCCATAACATCAAGTGTGGCTAGACATCATTGCCACCCAACTTTAAACATTGGCAGAACTGCTCAGCAATTCAGACTAAGTTGCTAAAGTAAACAAGCCCGAAAAGAAACTATACAATCTCAGGCTAATAACAATGTCCAGAAGTAAAAGAAAAAAAAGGTCAAAAATGAAAGAGTTCCAAAGTACAAAAATTCTGAGGGATAATTGATTAGTGCTTTTAGAAAGAATTAATCCACCCAGAAAGGAAGCTTCCAAACTTGTTAAATAAATAAGATAGCCAAATTGGATATCCTAGAATGCTGGATATATACAAAATGGCAAACTGGAACATATTTGTGTACATCAGTATACTACAGGTCCTAGATGAAGATCATATTCGATCAACTTCATACCTCGCCATATCCACAAGCAAAATGCAATGCTGTCCTTCCTTCTGAGTCTTCTTCGTCTTTATCAGCACCAGCAGTTAGTGCAGCCTTCAAGCCCTAAAAATCAAATACAAGCAATTATTTAGATGGACGATACCAAAGTCTCTAATGAGTTCATAGAAACAATTCGACTTGGAAAAAAAAGAACGAAATATAGACATATTTACACAGAATACGAATGAATAGGATTGTTCATACTGAAAAAGTACAATGTTATATCACAGGGATCACAGTACATGCGCACATAGTTGGCAGCAGGGTAATTTCAGACAAAAAGGGGAAGGAACTTTTGAAGAAGAAAAAGGTTTCTGAAAAAAATTGCACAGTGAAACTATGACATCCCTACATTTAAGCCTCAAAGTAAAAAGAAGTTGAATTAAAAAGTCACCTCTGCATCACCAACACTAGCACACTGGTGAACAACAGATTCATCTTCATTAGCCTCTTCGGTTTCATCTGTCCCAGGTATTGCAGAAGAGGTAGCACCCTCTCCCCCAGCAGCAAAACCCATTGCTTCACCAATCTTCTTCAGTGTTTCTTGATCATTCCAATACCTGAGAAAGGAAAGGGAAAACATTTGCATTACGCCCCAAGAAAGGACAAAATACGCCCAAGAAGGATGAATATAACATCAAAAGAAAAAAACGACAACAGATAGTAAAGATCAAGGACCAAAGTGCAGAACATAAAATTCAGCAAAGCTATAGTTGTATGTGATCTACTAGTCAAAAGGTAGAGTATTACAGTAAACTTTTTTGATGAAAAGAGTATTACAGTAAACTTGCAAACAAAGGAAAGTGCTTATAGTGCATATTGCATGCCGTAAGCGCCATAAAGCCAAAATGCTATAAAGGCATAGAACAGAAAAACATATAATAATTTGAGATATTAACACTATAAGGGCGGCCAGGAGACGCTAAAACAAACTGATGGAACCAAAAATAAACTGTAGTGTGCTCAGTGCTCAGTGAAGTTCCATCTGAAACTCTCCTCAATAGGACTAGCTGCAAACTTTTTCCTCTGTCTGCTGCTGCAGATAGACCAAATTGAAAGGAGATTCTTTTATGAAGAAGGATTCTCCTCTTGATTCCAGTCACAAATGATACTTAAACCAAGAATGGAAGATCTAGCCACAGAGCAAACTTGATTTCTAAGAATTCTTTATTTCTGAATATCAGGAAGTGATGTCCTATCTACTAACCAGATGTCTCACACCCAACACACATACATATCCTGAAGCTTAGGAAGTCAAACTATGACGTTCATTTTTATTACTGAAGCTTGCAGATGAAAAGGTCTCCCACAAAATTAGTATTCGTGGCGGTCTGTCCATTTTAGAAGCGAAACTGTGAAAAGGAATCTGCAACATCAAAGGTTGGGATGTGGACAGTTGCCTTTAAATTAGCTGGTGAAGTGTTCAACAAAGTACAGGATATCACTAAATTCTGGTCTGACCAGAAATGAGGAGAGAATAGTTAATGCAACCTAAATCATAACAAATAGGAGATATGACCTCATCATTGCAGCTGGTCCCCCGCTCTCTATCTCTTCCAAAATCGGTTTCAGCGATGGGTCTTCCTTGATGCGTGCCATCCGTTCTTCAATTTGCTCTTTCTGAGCAGGGTTTGACAAACTCTCAAGCATGCCAGACATGGATGGATCCTGAAGTTTAAAGAGTAAAGAAATCATGTGCCTATCACTCAAAGAAGAATCATTTTTCATCAAGAAATCCAGGGCTCATACAACATTTACCTGCATCAATGCATTACCAAGCCGCTCAGCCATTGTCATAAATTGAGGATTTTGCATAACCTGTTGCATTGTGGAGTAGTATTGTTGGCTATCAAAGTTGGGGACGCTCTCTTCGACTGCTGCACCTTGAAAGGTCTTCTGAAGCTGCTCCGCCATCTGATTAAATGCAGGATCTTTCGCTATCTGCTCCGCTAGTTCTTTGATACTTGGGTCCTACATCAGCCACAGCATAAAAGAATTGTGCAAAATAAACCAAAATACAGTATACAAATAATACAAAGTTTATCAATCAACAAAGAAATGACAAAAGCAAAGCAGCAAAATTACAATAAAATTGGTTTTCACCAAGTGTTAGAGCTTTGTTTTCTGTCAAAGTAGTTTGCGAGTCCTCCACAGTTTCGTGTCTCAAGCACCATGTATTCAACCAAAAAGAGATTTAAATATGTAATTACTTTTTAGTCTACCTAATAACTCCTCCGTTGATCAATTACTATCCTGTTATTCAACCAAAAAGAGATTTAAATATGTAATTACTTTTTAGTGTACCTAATAAGTTGATCAATTACTATCCTATTAGTCAAAGGTAAGTAATTGACATCGTCAGTTGGAGAAGATTTGTCAATGTGAAAAGAAATAGTCAACTAGAAGTCCAGGACACAAATAAATATTAGTATGAAAAAAAGTTTATCAACTGGAAGTCTGGAAAACAGCAAAACTTCTATTCTACATAGTAACATGTATGTACATTGAGTAGTCCAGACATGGCTGAGAAATCGAAGGGATTTTGAAGCCCAGCTCCAGCCGCAGCCGTAGAGGTTGTTCTCGCCTCTCCTGATGGTGCTTCTGTGGAGGAAGACTCAGAAGATTTTTTATTCTCAGATGCCCCAGACTTCTCATCTGAAAAAAGAAAAAAAAAAAATTGAACTTTCTTCAGCAACTTAAAACTGTGTCTTCCACTTTGCAATTTCTCTTTCAAACAAAAGAACGCACAATCAAGACAATTTTGTAGAGCACTCATTATCGATTATGCC